GCCTGATAAAACAGTGGTTATTGGAATGGTGTTGCTGACCGTATCAATCCTATTCCACTCAGAAAGCTAATACAGCAAAGTATTTAAGGAACTGAATTATGAATCAGGACTGTGTCACTGGTTCAAATCTGACCAATGCCATTAAATGACTAGGTACCCTTTGCCAAGTCACTCTTGCCAAGCCTCGGTCCCCCTGTGAAGAAATAAGTACAAATGAGGGCGCAATAGGCCGTAAGCTTTTGCTACAATATCTCTTGATCTTTAATAATATATTATGCCGTATAATAAGTGTTTTCTTTTTGTTCTTGTTTATGTTCTGTGTCTCAGTTGCAGGTCAACTTCATGCCTACACCACTCGCCTGCCTGCAGGTCTGATCTGCCCATCTCAAGCAATTTTCTATGACTCCCCCAAACCCCACCAATTTCTATGGTGGCAATAAAGGAGATAAAAGAAAATAGACAAACCACATGCTATTACTGCTGCTGCTGCTTCGTGCAGCATGGTAGGATTGAAAATCACCCTCTCCTTGCTCATTAAATGATCAGTCTGATGGGTGAGGAGGAAAGAATAAATACTCCCCTCAGCTGATCTGCATGGATCAGCTGACCAGGGTTGTGTGTATGCCTCTATGCATCCTGTGCATGTGTCTGTGTGGGATGGCCACACTTAATTTTCGCCCTACCCATCATTGGTATGTGGCCTTAGGTTAAGGGAGGGAGGGAGAGAACTTACACACACACCCTCTTGATTGTTAAGACCAGCAGAGGGGTCCTTTTGATAGTTCCACTGCCCACAGAAACTCAGGGTGGCAGCAGCCCAGAATACAGCATTCTCTGTGGCAGCCCCTAAGTTATGAAATTCCCTTCCCCCAGAGGTGTGTCTGACAACTTCATTATATAGCTTTCGGTGAATGCTGAAGATGTACCCCCCTACCCTGTCCTTTGACACCTGAGATGAATATTTTCAGCCCTCACCTCATGTTCTGGAATTGCTTTTTTTTTTGGTAACTAACTTTTTTAACCTGTTTGTAACGTCTATGATTGCATATTTTTTTTTGTAACTAAGTTTTTAACCTGTTTCTAATGTTGTAACCCACCCTAGGACATTGAATGTGTTGGTCTCGTGTGGGGCACCAAGGAGAGCTTGGCTGTCTGGCTGGTGTACCGACCACCCAGCACACCTGCAGCCACCCTGTCAGACCTGCTGGAGGTGGTGGCGGGCTGGGCCTTGGAGTTCCCAAACCTACTGGTTTTGGGAGACTTCAACGTCCATGCCGATGCCGCTCCCTCCTCACAGGCTCTGGACCTAGTGACTTCCATGGCAACACTAGGGCTCTCCCAGTTTGTTTTGGGCCCCACTCATCAAGCAGGCCACACGCTGGATCTGATCTTTGGGGCTGGCATAGATGTGATCACGCTCTGAAAGCCAAGATTGACTTCCCGCTCCTCCCTGGCTCGGGTGGCGAACCTATTTGGGCTCGTCCGCGAAAACTGATGGATCCTGATAGATTCCGACAAGCCTTGCGGAACCCTGCTCCTCCTGGCGACTCATTAGATGACCATGTTGAGGACTGGAATAACCGGCTCTTGGCAGCCATTGATGAGATCGCGCCTAAGCGCCCTCTGCGACCCCGTCGAAACCGGGCCCCTTAGTTTACTGAGGAGCTCCGGAAAATGAAACGGGATCTTAGACGGCTAGAGCGAGTATGGTGACGGACTCGTGACGGAGCCTCAAGAACATCTTATAGGACACTTATGAAAGCCTATGAGATGGCTATGAAAGCTGCTAAGAAACCTTACTTTGTAGCTTCCATTGCATCCGCTAGCTCTCGCCCGGCACAACTTTTTAGAATAATTAGGTCAATAACGTCCTTAGGAGGACAACCAAATTTAAGCACAAATTCGACCCACAGCTGTGAGGCATTCGCAAGCTTTTTTGCGGAGAAAGTCCTGTTGCTCCACCGTGACCTCCCTGCCAATTTAGATACAATGACTGAACTGGAGGCCCCTCGACTGACTTCAGGTCCAGTGTTGGACCATTTCGATCGGATACTCCCTACTGATGTGGATAGATTCCTCCAAGTTGGTAGGCCCACCACCTGCCTCCTTGATCCGTGCCCGTCTTGGCTGATTAGGGAGTGTCCAGATGTTGCGCGGACCCCCCTGGTTGAAATTATCAATTTGTCCCTTGACATGGGGACATTCCCAGGGGAACTGAAGGAAGCAGTGGTGTGTCCACTCTTAAAGAAAACTTCATTAGATCCCTTAGACCTATCCAATTACCGCCCAGTTTCAAATCTTCCATACCTGGGTAAGGTAATTGAGAGAGCGGTTGCTGAACAGCTTGGTAGGTTTCTGGAGGAAACATCGGCATTAGATCCATTTCAGTCCGGTTTCCGTCCTGGTTTTGGGACGGAGACGGCTCTGGTTGCCCTAACAGATGATCTCCGTAGACAACTGGATCGAGGCGGGTCAGGACTGCTGATCCTTTTAGATTTGTCAGCAGCCTTTGACATGGTCGATCATGATCTTCTGGACCACCGCCTCGCAGACGTGGGGATACAGGGCATAGCCCGTAACTGGTTGTGCTCTTTTATCTCTGGTCGGGGACAGAGGGTGGCACTAGGGAGGGAAATGTCGTCGCGCCACTCCTTGGTGTGTGGAGTGCCGCAGGGCGCAATTCTCTCCCCGATGCTTTTTAACATCTTTATGCGCCCCCTTGCCCAGATTATCCGGAGCTTTGGGCTGGGCTGTCACCAATATGCTGATGACACTCAGCTCTATCTGCTGATGGATGGCCACACCGACTCGGCCCCGAACACACTGACCAGATGCTTGGAAGCTGTGGCTGGATGGTTTCGTGGGAGCCGATTGAAACTAAATCCTTCGAAGACAGAGGTCCTATGGCTAGGTCGGGATGGCATGGGGATGAGGGACCAACTCCCTTCTCTTGCGGGGGCCCAATTAGTGCCATTGCCTTCTGTTAAGAGTTTGGGTGTAATCCTTGACGCCTCCCTTTCCATGGAGGCGCAAGTTACAGCAACAGCCAAGGCGACATTTTTCCACCTTCGCTGCATCAAGCAGTTGGTCCCTTACCTTTCCCGCCCCGACCTGGCCCCAGTGATCCATGCGACGGTCATCTCCAGGCTTGACTACTGTAATTCGCTCTACGCGGGGCTGCCCTTGAAGCTGTCCCAGAAACTCCAGCGGGTACAGAATGCTGCAGCGAGGCTCCTCACGGGGTCTTTGCCATGGGAGCATATTCACCCAGTGCTTTTCAAGCTGCACTGGCTCCCGGTGGAGTACAGGGTCAGATTTAAGGTGCTGCTTTTGACCTTTAAAGCCCTTCACGGCCTAGGACCCTCGTACCTACGGGACCGCCTCTCCTGGTATGCCCCACGGAGAGCCTCAAGGTCCATAAATAACAACACCCTAGTGGTCCCAGGCCCTAAGGAAGTTAGATTGGCTTCAACCAGAGCCCAGGGCCTTTTCAACTCTGGCTCCGGCCTGGTGGAACGCTCTGCCTCATGAGACCAGGGCCCTGCAGGATCTGATTTCTTTCCGCAGGGCCTGTAAGACAGAGTTGTTCCGCCTGGCCTTTGGCTTGGAGCCAATTTGATTCCCTCCCTCCCTCTCTTTCTTTTTTCTTTTCCTTCTCCTCCTGAGATGAGGCTACATTTTAATATTTTAATGTTCCATTATTTTAATGTTGTATTTTATTTTTGTTTTTAAGTTGTAATCATTCATCTTGTTTTTATTATTGCTTGTAAGCCGCTCTGAGCCCGGCCTTGGCTGGGGAGGGCGGGGTATAAATAAAAAATTATTATTATTATTATTAAAAAAAGAAGTGACATTAAAGGTGTGTGGGTTTTTTCTAAGGTATATGATGCAACAAATGTAGGGAATGATTATATTCATTTACTCTTGTAGGACCCCGGTAAGCATTGCAGCAATATAAATGCTTGAGAAGCATTTTAAACATTTGATAATGTTACGAAATGTTTGTGAAATACTTTGATTATCATCACTACATTGTGTGCACAGTCTTGACACATGGTGGAAAAGAAGAACAGCTGTAGATGGAGGTTGTGGGCTGTGCTTCCTTGGAGGTTTTTAAGCAGAGGCTGGGTGGCCATCTGTCATGGATGCTTTAGCTGAGATTCCTACATTGCAGGGGGTTGGACTAGATGACCCTCGGGGTCCCTTCCAACTCTATCATTCTATGAGTAAATACCTCCATGTGTTTTTCTCCTGGTCTTAGGAGGGGCTTTTGGTGGTGAGCAGTCCTTTGACACCATTCAGTGTCTTTTACTGTCTTCCGTGATGGTAGACCTTTAAGAAAATCCAAAGAGTTCATCCATGAAACCCTTCCTTCTTAAAGCAAGAAGACTGAATAGATATGGACTCTTAAGAGCAATGACTTCCAATCTACTCAAATACCTCCTGACAAAAAAAATGGAAGAAGAATTATCCTGCATTACTTATTGCCATCTTGGAATCTAGGAAGCAGGGAGTTTCCATCTCTGCATCTGGTTAGCACGCAGATGCATGATGAAAGAGAAGTTATCAATCAATGACATACCAGTATAATTAACTATGCTTGCCTACAATTTATTTGTTATCATCAGAATACTGACAGTAATAATTCAGATTAGTATCTACACTTGGCTATATAACGTTGGTGTTCAATTATATCAGTGTTATTTGGTGATGCACATGGGACAAAGAAGATGCTAAATGTTATCTTGTTATAGGATAAATGTTACCCTGGTTCATGTTTAATTTACCCATTGAAGGACTTTTCCTTTTCAGTAGTTGTATCTTCTCTAACAGGGATTGGTTAGAAAATGTATAAGGTGGTTTTCTGGTGATTTAACTGAAACAATGGCATACTGTATTCCACACAAGGCAGTAAATAACAGATGCGATTAGACTGAGTATTTTGTTTCATTTTTTAAAAAATAATAAAAGGGCTTTTCCTTCCAAATGTAATTTTATAGGTTCACCACAGAAGAATCAATTTCTTTATAAATGGTTTGGAAGATGACAACACAGCTTTTGACTCCAGAATTCTTGCTGGGTTAATTGCAGATCCCTCTGCTGATGGCGAATGGCGAATTGGGCAAAATTTAAATGGTAAGTCTGAGTATTAAGGGAAGTTCATATTCTGTGGTATGGCTTTCCTGTATTGGCTGGAGGTTGGACTTGATGACCTTGTTATTCTACTATCTTTTGCAATAGATATTTAATTAGAGAGCAAAATGCTACTCCACCTGCTTCAATATCTACTTTTATCATATGTTTTCATCTCGAAATGTCACACCATTGCCAGGTTTGGAGATAGGGAGGCACTAGTGCCTTTCATTCCTCTTCCATCCCAGTTTTCAGCAAGCATAGACTTGTCCTCTATTCTTCCCTCTAACTGCACAGAATTGCTACTGTGGCCAATCAATACGATAATGTGGGGGAAGAAGGGGAAGCTGAGGCATTTTTATCTTCTCTGAAGCTCGTTGGAAGAGGAAATGGTCAGGATTCTTCAATGCTAACGTCACTAAGTTTATTATTCATTTATCTAAATTTGTATACCACTTTCCTGTAAATAAAACATCTAAGCAGTTTACCAAAAATTACATTAAAGTTATCAATAACAATCAAAGGTGTTTTTTAAAAAAATCAAAATATAACTAAAGTCATCAGTGAATCCAGAATTACATATTCAAATACATGTCAGTTTTTACTGGGTAGGCTTGCCTAAAGAAACCTGTTTTTGTTGCTGTTTAGTCGGTTAGTCGTGTCCGACTCTTTGTGTCCGACTCTTCGTGACCCCATGGACCAGAGCACGCCAGGCACTCCCGTCTTCCACTGCCTCCCACAGTTTGGTCAAACTCATGTTAGTAGCTTTGAAAACACTGTCCAACCATCTCGTCCTCTGTCGTCCCCTTCTCCTTGTGCCCTCCATCTTTCCCAACATCAGGGTCTTTTCCAGGGAGTCTCCTCTTCTCATGAGGTGGCCAAAGTATTGGAGCCTCAGTTTCGGGATCTGTCCTTCCAGTGAGCACTCAGGGCTGATTTCCTTCAGAATGAATAGGTTTGATCTTCTTGCAGTCCATGGAACTCTCAAGAGTCTCCTCCAGCACCATAATTCAAAAGCATTAATTCTTCGTTGAACCTGTTTTTAGCAGGCAGTGAAAAGAGTACAATGAAGGTCCTGCCTGATGTCAGTAGGCAAAGGAGTACCATTGTGTTGCCGTGCTAAAAGATCTATTCCTCACAAATGTGGAACGATTATTTTATGGCAGTTCCTCCGACTGGGCATAGGTGATCCTTTAAATAAACTGGTCCAAAACTGTTCAGGGTATGTGTTCCAAAACTGGCTGAGCTCCAGTTTTGCAAAGGACTAACAGAATCCTGTCAGAAGTGTGGTGGTGCCTGTAGGTCAGGGGTGGCAACCTAAGGCTTGGGGACTGGATGCGGCCCAATCGCCTCCTCAATCCAGCCCGCGGATGGTCTGGGAATCAGTGTGCTTTTACATGAGTAGAATGTGTGCTTTTATTTAAAATGCATCTCCAGGTTATTTGTGGGGCCTGCCTGGTGTTTTTACATGAGTAGAATGTGTGCTTTTATTTAAAATGCATCTCTGGGTTATTTGTGGGGCATAGGAATTGATCCCCCCCAAAAAAAATATAGTCCAGCCCACCACACGGTCTGACCCCTGCTATAGGTTGTTGAACTCAGCATTCATTCCCCCACAAGGTGACTTAGAAATGTAAATGTTTTGAGTTCCTTGCAATGTGATCTACAAGTTCCTTTGACAACTGAAAACAATTAATACAAAAGCAACTTTGGAAAAGAAATGGAAATGAAGACTGAGTTATTATCACAGAAATACCAAATGTTTTGTAATTGTCCTGGCTGAATATTTGGTGAAGCGGAGATAAAATAATTTTTCACCATGTTCTGAACATTGCCATCAATATAAGGTGCCAGTGGTTTTGCAGCTCCCTTAAATTCTGTTTGGTGATGAATTGGTCCTGCAGATTTATTAAGGCTGAGTATCACTGATCCAGAACATACTGCAATTTGGAGCTAAGTCCTAAATATATCTGCATCTGGCTTGGAGAAATGTTTGATTCATTCCAATAGAACCATCCAGCTCCTATATATCAAGAGTTGAAAATTCTCATTTCGAAGTGCTTCTTGTTGACACTGTCACTTTTGAATACCAGACACACAATAATTGTGTGGAAGAAAAAGAAATCTTTAAAAACATACCTTTCACCTTTATTGCATAAAGTGACAGCTACAGTTGTCCCTACTGTATCTCTTCTCTAATTAGAGGTGGCACATGGGCTGCCTCATTACTTCTGTCTAATGAGCCAGCCTGTGTGCCACCTCTGTAATCAGATAAGAGATAGGTACAAAATGTTCCTATAAAGTTATTATAAATCATTTTAATCAAAAAAATTAAGTCACTGCCCTCCATAGTTTTGTCCGGAACCAAGATGGTTTCATTCAGAAGAGGTAATTGTGCAAGAGAGATCTCTGTGTGCTGAATTTAAGATCCCCTCATGCAGCACAGAGCTGTTTTCTGGTTGATGGGACTGGATTATTTATTTATAATGTATTTTCGCAGGTTCAGAGCAATTTGTTGGGAGGATGCAAGATTTTAGATTGTACCAAGTGGCGCTTACAAACAGGTGGGGGAATTTTCATTTTTACAAAACCCAAATGTGACATGATCAAAGGAGAGAAAGGCTTATAGCTACGATAAGTTTGCTTCGAAGTTTAACCAGTCTTTTTGGATATTTCTTTATATAATGGCTAGATTAGATTTGGAACTATAACTGCATGTACATGAATTCCAACAGGGTTTTTAATTAACTGCATGGGTGCAGGCTGATAAAATCGTAGGAATTTATGCTGAAAGATCAAAGGTTTGATCCAGCTCACTTTTGGCACAACATCCACTCACCGAGAGACCTCCCTAGGCTCTAAGGCATATCAGAACCATGATTCCCTTTGGCAGTAACACACACAGACACCACACCAGGCTGCTACCAGGAATGTGGAACCTGTCCTTGCCTCCCATAACCATAATTAGTATCTCCTTTCTACTTGGGCAAGAAAAACTCAATAGCTTAGCACTATGGGTATGACCCTCCATCACCCTCCCAGTGGTGTCCAAACTTTTTTCAAAGAGGGCTAGCCTTCCATCTCGCATAAAGACCTGCTATAGTACCAGCATGTGAATTATGGGGATGTAACAAAGGGTCTCTATTTTTCTCAATTGGGAATTCCTTTGTTTTCTAGCACTGCTCCTGAGGTAGACTGGATTGAGTTCCAACAGAATGCATAAATGCAATGTAAACACATAGTGCCAGAAGAACATCAATTCTAGCTGCAATAATAACCCTACCCACTTAAGAGTGGGCCCCACTGAATTCATGCTTCTGAGGAGACATGGTTAGGATTGTAGCCTAAGTTCTTATAATTGTTGTTACTTTAACACTGTTATTAATAATGTGGAACCTGTAACACTGTGGCTTATGACCCTGGCTTGTAGCCAAAGCTTGTTTAAAGCAGTGGTTTTCAACCAGTGCGCTGTGGCACCCTGGGGTGCCTTGAATGATGGTAATGGGTGCAGCCAGCAACACTGGCCTCTATCCCTCTTTCCTTCCCTCCCTCCTCTGATGCCCTCTTGCATCTCTGCTTCCCAAAGGCTTGCACAGCTGTTTGTTGCAGCAGCCCTGGCTACAAGACTCCCACAGAATGGTGCCTCTGGGGCTGGTGGTGGGGGGCTTCCCAGGCTCCTGTGGGGCGCTGTAAGGAGGCACCTCTCTCTGGGCAGGGGGACAGCTCAGACACCAGGGGCAGCAGCAGCAGCAGCTGCCTGGAGGACTCCCAAGGAGAAGGGAGAGGAGAAGAGCCTGAGGGAACACTCCACAAGGGAGGGTGTTTGAAAATGGGTGAGAGGCTGCCAGCTCAGCAGGCAGTGGGTGACAGAACTGGGCTCCTGAGCGCCACAGGGGTGCCACAGAAAGAATGTAGCTGGTCAAGGGATCCATGAACTCAAAAAGGTTGAAAACCCCTGGTTTAAAGTAACCAGAGTTCCCAGAATGTTGATGTAATAGGAAGCTCTAGTTAGTTTGAAAACAGAAGCAGTTTCTGCCAGCCTCAATTCTCATGGCTGTGCCAGATAAGAGGCAGGAGGTGCAAGCCCAAGGTATGCTGCGGGTTCATTCACATAGTGCTATATATATATAATATAATAATATATAGTAAATTATTAGTTAGTTGCTTGTAAAACAAACAGACAGGTCTCTAAGCAACTTCCAACATATTTATGAGCATGAGCATAGCTCTATATAAAAATAGCTTTGTAGTTTCATGCCAACAGAGAATAAAGTCATGTAAAAGATAACAGCGTTCTTAAAATATGTTCTTTTTAAAGAGAAAACCATGTAGTTAAATTGGCTTTATCAGCCATCTTTTAAGTCACGCTTATGTGTTAAGGCTAATTACAGATGGGTCTTTACAAATAGGGCTTACTGCTCTTTTTATTGTGTGCACAACTCTTTTTTATATCTGCTTTTTTAATGCTAGAGACATTTTTGAAGTATGGTCTGGAAAATTTCCTCAACTTCACAGTCAGTCAGAATGTCGCTGTCCTGGAAGTCATCCCAGGGTACACCCTTTGGTGCAAAGGTACTGCATCCCTAATGGTGCTGATGATACGACTAATGACAGGGTGCTCAGACTAAACCCCGAAGCTCATCCTTTGAGCTACATCAATGATAATGATATTGGAACTTCGTGGATTTCATCTGTCTTTAGCACCACTGAACAACTCAACAGAGGGATAGCCATTACAATAGACTTAGAAAATGGACAGTACCAGGTAAGATTTTAAGATTTCTTTATGCAGTATACTATTCACTTATAGATGAAAATGGGAATTGGTTTCTTTGTTCTGCCTTTTTTTTTTGTTAAAATTTAACACAAAAAGCTAAACATAATTACTTTACATTCATTGCTCACTTAGTTCAAGGAAATTTCAAATGAATTGGAGATAATGTTCTGTTACACTGGTGTGATAATTGATTGTCAAAATGAAAAGAACCCAATTCTGATGAAGGCAGCTGGACTGAGAATTTCCCAAGAATTTAATGTGACATAGTACATGATATAGGGACGCGGGTGGCACTGTGGGCTAAACCACAGAGCCTAGGACTTGCCAATCAGAAGGTCGGCAGTTCAAATCCCCGCGACGAGGTGGGCTCCCCTTGCTCAGTCCCTGCTCCTTCCAACCTAGCCGTTCGAAAGCACGTCAAAGTGCAAGTAGATAAATAGGTACTGCTCCAGCGGGAGGTGAATGGCATTTCCGTGCGCTGCTCTGGTTCGCCAGAAGCAGCTTACTCATGCTGGCAACATGACCCTCGGCCAATAAAGAGAGATGAGCGCTGCAACCCCAGAGTTGGTCACGACGGGACCTAATGGTCAGGGGTCATTTTTAGTACATGATATACTCAACTAGGGACGGGGTAAGACTGTGTTTGACATTTAGAACTACATAGCTTGGATTCTTGCAATCAGAATCATTGTGGACACAGCCCATCCTGGGCCCTCTGCTGGCTTTTAAGTTCACCAGCCATTTTTTCAGGTGGAGCCTTTTATGGGCTCCTTCTACCACTGCCTCCAAGCAAAGATAAAAGCTTTGTGCTTTCTCCCTTTCCCCTTAATTTAGCTTGTGAAGTGGGAGTATAATCATGGTTTTGTGAACATTCTTTTAGATCATATACCAAAGCCCCATAGGTTTTGTATGCACTTAAAGGGAATGCTCACAAAACCCAGTTATTTAAAAGGGAAAACGGGAATATTTCTCTATTTCTACACACAGCTTCAAATGGGATTTGGAGCTGGTTTTCAGAATCCTCATTACAGGAGTTCCTTTGCAGCTCTAGGTAGCGTTGAATGCCTCACACTATCTTTGGAAAGCTATTCTGTGGTTTGCCTTCCCCAGGGAATGAAAACTCTTGTTGGTACAATTGCTTCTGCATTAGCCTACATTGCAAATGGCAACAGAAGCCCGCAAATCCACATATAGTCCATTTTTCCATTTTTCTCAGTCTGAAGTCTATATAACCCATCATCAGCAGAGAGGAACAAATGGCAGTCTCTACAAGCAAGTTCCGATGGCATGCTTTCATGATCTAAGTTTACCATTAATTTATTTTAGAATTTCTAGTCTTTTTGCCTTACAGCACTCAGGGAAAACAAAACATTCCCTCGAAGGAGTGCATTATAAACATAATGGACATTACTGCTCTCCCCACACACATGGAGCTGTCTTCTTAGAGTGCATAAGAACCCAGCTGGATCAGGCCAAAGTCCCATCTACTCCACTAGCCTGTTCTCACAGTGGCCAGCCAAAGGCTTCTGGGAAGCCAGAAAACTAGTCTTGAACACCAATGCTCAGAGACATGCCACCTCAGAAAATCGGTGAGATTGTGGTTTGTAGCCATTGATAGCCTCATCTGATTATGCGGCACATTGAGGAGCCGCCTCAGTGCAGTAGCTCTGGTCTGCTCCCCTTTGAGGTGGTTCCCCCCATCCAATCCGCCGCCGCCATATCTCTCTCTCTCTCTCTCTCTCTCTCTCTCTCTCTCTCTCTCTCTTAATTTTTATAATGCACCTTCCTATGTTCCTATAGTTGCTTTAATGGCTAATTTCAGCTGAATCGAGGACCAATATGTATAAAGGTATTCCAAATGACTTCGCATTTTGCTGTTGATTTGTAGGTGTTTTACATTATCCTTCAGTTCTTCAGCCCACAGCCCGAAGCAATACGAATACAAAGGAAAAAGCAGCGTGACTCTGACTGGCAAGACTGGCAGTACTTTGCAAGGGATTGCAGTACATTTGGAATGGAGAACAACGAGTCCCTAGAATATCCTGACTCTGTGAACTGCCTCCAACTTCCTAGGTATGAACAAATAGCATTGTGTGGAGTGCAAATGCACTTGTGGAGCCAATCCAGTGCTCCTGCCAGTATGTTTGCTGATCTCCCTGCTACCTTGTCCCTCTTCTTCCTGGTACACAGCAATGACTCAGTTGTCAGAAGGCCTGGAGATTTCTGCGTCGGTGGAACTGCACTCTTTCACCCTGGTGCCGTTGGGCTGGCCCTCACTAAAATATAGTGCAACTACCTCACAGTACACTAGTTACACAAATTTGTACAATTTACCCCAGATTATCTAGTGGGGGACTTGTGTGAGGGAAAACTTAATGATTTGGAGTCTCAGGCAGGATTTGATCAAACAAAGAAGAAAGGTTTTATTAAACAAAGGAAGTTTATGACACGAAGTGGGTAAAACAAAGGATACTCAGGTTATAATGTTATTTCAGGTAACCGTTCACCTAATAATATTTATACTAAATCTAACTGATGTTATGGACTTCTAATCAAGCACAGCTTCTTTTAAACTTCAGTTGCTTATGTTCAGTTACTTCGCTTCAGACAGATGTTACAGGTTTTAGACTAAATGGTAAAATCTCAGCTTATTTCCAGTTATTTCACTTCAGTTCTTTCTCAGTTGTTGCACAGCTGTTGCAGATTAATACTTTGGCTCTTAAACAAGGCAGTACTTCCTGTCAGTTACACACCCCTTTGACTCCTCTACTCCTGAGCTACTCCAAGTAACAGACCCAAGGGATCACCACACCCCTCTTAACTTGCTTTGGGAGTCTTTTCTTTTCGTAGAAGAATCTCTCCCCTCCTGACTGGAATGAGACAGGAGAAAGATACAGACCTAAGTAGACTGTATCTTTCCAGCTTCTACTTCTCCTGGCTCAGCCTCAGCATCCTAGTTAATTCCTGGCCTATTACTCTCACAGGACACCACACATAGACTCCTTTCTCTAGCTTTTGACATATTCCTCAGAGTAGATGTTTCTACCCAGAACCAACTCTCTCTCCTCTCACTCCCTATCTCCCAGCCTAAAACCTGTCTCTCCAAAACCTCTCCTTTTCAACTCCCTCTCCTGGAACCCTGGTCAATCAGAAGCTGCCGTTCGTTAACCGTTTGCTGGCAGGAAAAAGAAAAAGAAAACACTTTGTGACCCAACCTGCCCAGCAAAACAAACCTTTCCATCACAATTTCCTTCTAGAGATAATTGAATGACTAAGCCTCACATTCCTATCTAGAATGGTAAAAGGTAAAGGTACCCCTGCCCGTACGGGCCAGTCTTGACAGACTCTAGGGTTGTGGTCTCATCTCACTCTAGAGGCCAGGAGCCAGCGCTGTCCGCAGACACTTCCGGGTCACGTGGCCAGCGTGACGAAGCTGCTCTGGTGAACTGGCACCAGAGCAGCACACAGAACGCCGTTTACCTTCCCGCTATAAAGCGGTACCTATTTATCTACTTGCACTTAAGGGTGCTTTCGAACTGCTAGGTGGGCAGGAGCTGGGACCGAATGACGGGAGCTCACCCCGCTGCAGGGATTCGAACCGCCGACCATGCGATCGGCAAGTCCTAGGCGCTGAGGTTTTACCCACAGCGCCACCCGCGTCCTATCTAGAATAGCAGCATATTAAAAGCTTGTACCCAATAGAGGGGCGTGGGTGGCGCTGTGGTCTAAACCACAGAACCTAGGGCTTGCCGATCAGAAGGTCAGTGGTTCGAATCCGTGTGAGCTTCCATTGTTTGGTCCCAGCTCCTGCACACCTAGCAGTTCGAAAGCACGTAAAAGTGCAAGTAAATAAATAGGAACCACTCTGGCAGGAAAGTAAACGGTGTTTCCCTGCACTGCTCTGGTTCGCCAGAAGTGGCTTAGTCATGCTGGCCACATGACCTGGAAGCTGTCTGTGAACAAACGCCGGCTCCCTCGGCCTATAGAGTGAGATGAATGTTGCAACCCCAGAGTTGTCCGTGACTGGACCTAACAGTCAGGGGTACCTTTACCTTTATACATTTCTTCTGGAGTAATCTCTAGAGGTCACATGAACACAGGTGGCAGGGCAATAGCTAGAAGAAGATGGTGCCAATCTTTTATTTCTCTGCTTCTTCCATCCCTTTTTCTCTTTCTCCCCCTCTTTCTCTTTTTCCTGTCTCCTTCTCTCTCCATTTCAGTGTCAACCCCAAGCCAGCTGCTGGGGAAGGGTTAGATTGCTCTTGCCAGAAGTCTGGCCACTTGAAGAAGGCTTCTGAAATTAGGCCAAGAGGGCCATCTGGCCCAAAGGCCAAGTGTTGAATGATTCTAGTGAAAGGCATTTGTATCTAATTAAAAGATCACTATACAAATTGTTTAAAAGACTGGATGGCCTTTGATGAATTCTAGGAGACAAGTCAAGGTTTTGTGGACGTAAGGATGTTCTGCAGCCTGAAATAGTCTCATAGTAAGCAAGGGGGGTAACTGAGGGGTTGCAAACATTTCCTAGTTACTCTTCTTGAGCAGTTTTTGTGTAGACAGGTCTAAGACTGCTAAAACTGGAAGTTTTAGAGGTTGGCAAACCTCACAAAAAAGGGGCAGAGGAGACGATATGTCTTAGACCTTCCTACACAAAAACCTGGCTTTTGAGACAAGTGTTACACAGGTCTGATGCTGACTAGGTTCTGAATTATGCCAAGAGTTGGTGCAATCAGACAGTTATGAGACTTGTAAGACTTACTGCTACACATTTGCCCTTAGCCCAGACAGTCACTGTTATGTCTGTTTAGCACGATGAAAGCTTTTATTTGGGGTTGGGGGATTTTGCGTTCAGCCATAGCTGTCTAGCTGCAACCAACTCTTGGCAAAATTCAGAACCTAGTCAGCATCAGACCTGTGTAGCACTTGTCTGAAAAGACATGAGGGAATGTTCCACCAGGTGCAGTCGCTGTTTGTTTTGATGGTGTTGTTATTTTTGTTTTGTTCTTGCTGTTTCAGTCTTGGCGGCTAGGCTTTTAAAGTGTCAGCATCTTTCTCTGGGCTTTCACGATTCAACATTCTAAGGGAGGAACAAGAGGTCATTGAGGGTACAATTCATTTTCAGCAAAACATATATTTTGCATTCAGTTGAAGTCGGGTGGGGTGGGGGAAATAGCCAAATTCATTGGCTGAGCAATGAATAATGTTTTAAAAAATAATAATCAAAAATGGTGTTTTTTTTTAAAAAAACCAACCACAATAACACTCCAACAGAAAAATTAGTGCATCTTAGAAAAGGAATTCAAGAGCCAATGTGTGAAATGCTGCCATAAATGTTTTATAATGGAACATTGTTTTCCCTTCAATTACAAGACATAAATGATAATAGGAAGTGATTGAAGTGAACGATGTTATGTAGGGAAGATGTACAGTGAACCTAATATAAAAATACCCTCTAAAGACTAGTGTATATTCATTGTACCACAGGAAACATTACGTGGTAGTGAACAAGAAGCTACTCTGTTGTATTTTTAAAGAAGAAATTAACAAAATGTGTTACTTGCTTGTCCTAAAGATACAAATCAAACTTACTAAGGCTCCATCTGCACTATATGTTTATAACAGTATTATACCACTTTAAGAAGTCATAGCTTTCCCCAAGGAATCCTGGGAATCTATTAAAAGGTACAAAATAATAAATCCTTTGCTTTTAAAGAATTAATCAAGTAAAGGATTTATTATTTTGTACCGCTTAATAGGTATATAAATTGATTTTCACTTGTTTCTAATTGTACTTTATGGATCTTGTATATCCTGTTATGCTTTGAGGTCATGCCTGATGAAAAGCAGTATACAATAACCAAATAATTAAATAATTATAACTAGCTGTTTTTATTTTATTTATTTATTATTACATCAACAGCATTACTCCATATTCCCATGGAAATGTTACTTTCAGCGTTCTCACACCAGAACCAAATCGTCGGCCAGGATACAATGACTTCTACAACACCCCAGCACTTCAGGAGTTTGTCAAAGCTTCGGCAGTAAAGATTCATCTACTTGGCCAATATCATACTGCTGTACCTTCAGTTAACTTTAGACACAGATACTATGGAGTTGACGAAATTACTGTCAGTGGGAGGTAGGCTACTCACAGTTTGTATTGAAAATGAAGTCTATTTGAGAGTAAACGACTCACTGTGGATTTATACTCATTCAAATGAGGTGAAGATGTACTTCATAGCATTGATTTCAGATCCAAAATGGGTTTGCCTTACATCAGATAAAAATCTAACTTAACAAAATAATCTTTAACCAATTTTTATCCCTCAATAATGCTTTCACATTCTGGATTTGCTAACTCTTAGAAACAGGTATATTTGATTGAAAGCCTGATTGAAGCTTTGCTCTAGTGGTGCTTCCATTTTTTATTATGGACTCCCATATATGGCAGTTGTAATGGTCTTAATAATGAACTAAACTCTTTGTCTTAGCTGGTTTTTCCCTTTAAAAATGAGGCTTCTGTCAGCGAAAGTGTTGCATTATCTATGACTGACAACTTTATTGTATATGTTAAGTCAGAAGTCTTGTTGAAGGCATAATTACACCCTGTAAATAAAATGCAAATTAAGTAATGACTGAGTCTCCAGTGAAAGATGTGCTCTTTTTTTTTACTTTGGAATTTATGTTTTAAAGAATATGTATTAAATCAGCTTTTCTTAGTGAGAAAAATGAATGTGTGGCTATAGTGTTTTGTTTTTAATTTAATGTTGCATCTCAACTGGTTTTGTGCACTCTTTGGACTTTTAGAGAAGGCAGGATGTATATATTTTTTAAATAGATAAATTAAATAAACACAGTTTTTCTTCTATATTACTGTAGCTTGGCAGTCTGAAATGGTATATAGTGGTATAATGGTATATATAATAACTTTTAAAATAATGTGTGTGTCTGTCTCTGTGTGTGGATTCCACCCCAAAGAACAATAAGAGCAACTCTGAAGTCACAATAAGTAACCCCTAAAGTGTACTTTTTTCGCCCCAAGGGCTGGAGGGATCTTAAATTCAATTAAAGTCCAATGGAATGAATTAATAGAAACTAAGTTAAGCTCCTTTAACTTCAATGGGGCTTAAGCATGCTTCTCTGCGCTAGGCCCTTGTGTTTTAATAGAGAGAGTACAATCCAGCAAAAATTAAATGTGAGTAGGAACTGATTCACCTATGACTTCGGCATGTAGGCTTTTCCTTGTGGCAGGACCCTCACGTCCCTCTCCTGTCATGTAGAGCTGGTGAACCTGTGGACCTCACCTACCCTTACAAAGGTTTTCTGGGCCCCTTGCATCTCCCAAAAGTTGTCATTAAAAATAAAAATAAAACTAAGGATGATATTAGGCATTTTACCACTCCCCATACCCCTGTTCAGGTGTCATAATTAAGTTAAACATCTGGGAGGAAGGGCAACTGCAATGGAGCAGAGGCAGGGGCAGTTTTGTTCTTGCTACTTCTCCATAGATATTTCCTTTAACCCTCTTGTCCTGACTAAAGAGGGTTTGTATGTTAATTATCTGGGGCTTTTTTTAAAATGATATTTTAAATTTTGTTCTGGTAGCCTGGAGAAGGAAAATGATATAAAATAAAATAACAGATATGTACATATACTCCATGTCCTTTTAAGGAGTTGTGGTGTTCCAGATCGAAAGGTTAATGCTGAACGAACAGGTGCTAACTGTAATAAATAATTAGAGCCTTACATCTGCATAGTATACAATGAAAGCACATGATGCATGTTTGATCACTTAATAGTTGGTCTACATGTACTGTCAATTTACTCCCTTGTAAAGCAGCATTTACTTGGCATTTATAAATGCCGAATGGAAAGAGACATGAAATGGTTACTACACTTAAAGGGCCCTTTTCTGAGATGGTTATCCTTAACAGAAGCAGGCAATTACTTTCATGATAGTGTACAAATAACAGGGAGATGCCCTCTCAAATGATACATCAATTCACTCTTCTAAATAGCTTGATTTTGTGTAACTTTCATACTGCTAAACTTTTGTTTTGTGATGACTGAATATATAAAAAATGAATCTGATCTGTTGTACAGGTGTAATTGTTTTGGCCACGCTGATCGCTGTGACACAAGTATTAACCCATACAGATGTCTTTGCTCCAAGGAAAGCTATACAGAAGGCAACAACGTGAGTTCCTTTAAATTTCAAGTTCTCAAGTTCTCAAATCTGAATCTGAAGGCAATTAAGAGTACACCCTCCATAATGGTCTATTGATGTTTAGTTTTTAATTTTTTTAATGTGCTTTTAACTTGTTTTTAACTTGTTATGATTTTACTGTCTGGTGTTATGCTTTTTTATTGTTGTAAAAAAACAAACAAACAAATAACTTTGTTTGCTGGAGAAGCAAACCTCGACCCTGCCAAACACAGGAAAGAATGATGAGGGATTCACTGATGCTTTAATGGTACAATCTGGCTAGTGAGACTCCAGTTCTACACCATAAAGGTTCAGTGTTGGCTACTGCTCATAGCTATTTCAGCTTCCAGTGTGCTACCAGTATCTGTATTTCCCCCCGAACTACTCTACAAGCATTAGCTTGTAAGTCACTTTGGGCTGCTCTGGGCAAGATGAAGATAAAGTCTGTAGTTCAGTTACAGGTGATTGTGTGGTGAAATTGTCATAAATTTTCTGTTGACCTCCATGGATTCTACTTGCCAGTTATTATCTTTAATATTATAAGGGACCTGTGAATGTTGTATGAATGTCCGCAATGCACTTGCCAGTAGTGACTGGTGGGGCTGTGTGGGTTGCATTGGATTGCATTGCTTTCCATTTTCCACACATAAGTTGCTGCCACTAACCAAAAGAAAAGGTGCAACTAGGAGGAGTTTGGTATGGTGTGGATACACTATTGATACAGTGGCAGGAGCATCAGAATGACTTCACTGCAGCACCTGCACTGCACAGAGCCTACACTGCTTTGCCCCTCCCCCTCTCAGTAAGCAGCTGTGATATACTGCATTTGGAAGGTGGAAGAGCAGTGAAGTCCCACATGTGAAGCCCTGCTGGCCACTATTGGCACTTGCAGTAGTGCTTTGGCATGAGTTTTGTTATTTATGATTTACTACAAAATCCATGCACTGTGTGATTAGACTTAATATGAACAAATGCACACAGGATCTGCATAATATTTAAAAAATAAGATGACAATGCAAAATTAAGCAGATGGACTTCGAAGGCCAGACAGATTTTTCCTCAGATATTCATATTCAATCATTCATTTTATATTGAATGATTTTAGAATGTTGTTTATGCTGTACTTTTGTACTGTTTTACTGTTGTTAGCCGCCCTGAGCCCGGCTTCGGCTGGGGAGGGTGGGATATAAATAAAATTTATTTATTATATTATTATTATCTCTGGAAGAAGTGCAAATATTTGATTGTAGAAAGTATTACACATATCAGTGAAATATGTATGCAGATTAGAGTTGCCGTATCTTGAAGAACATAAAAGAGGGGAGCCTGAGCTGCTGCCAGCCCAAGCTGGGGGAAGAGGAATATGTGTGTGCGGGGCCACTGGCATACCTGTGCGCCTCTTTTCCTGGCTTGGTCTGGCAGTGGCCGCAGCATGCAGATCAGCCCAAACCCAAGCTGCCCAAGCTGGAGCCCAACCCACCCCCAACCCCAGACATTTCCTTTAAAGTGTAAAAATCCACCCAGATGGGCATGTTGGCCTCCTGAAAGAGGACATGTCCAGGTTTTCCTGGACATATGGCCAGGAAATACCCAGTTATAGAACTGATTTCTTTTTCCACTCCCTTCCACTGCATTATACTTTTATACAATAATGCGTTCAACCCCATCCTGCAGTAACTTAATTCACCTCTGCTAGGTCCAGCTGCTGTTGCTCTCATTTCTTTTTCAATCCTAGAGAGAAGAATACAGTGGTACCTCAGGTTAAGTACTTAATTCGTTCTGGAGATCCGTTCTTAACCTGAAACTGTTCTTAACCTGAAGCACCACTTTAGCTAATGGGGCCTCCTGCTGCTGCCGCCGCCGTGCGATTTCTGTTCTCATCCTGAAGCAAAGTTCTTAACCCGAGGTAATATTTCTGGGTTAGCGGAATATGTAACCTGAAGCATATGTAACCCGAGGTACCACTGTACCATCTTCCCCCTGCTCAAAGGATTCTGAGAACTACAGAGCTACAATTCCCAGGATCCTTCACATACTACTGTTGCCAGTATTCTTGGGGTGTGTGTGTGCAGTGTATATGCAGCCTGTATGCAGTAGGATACAGAAAGCTGCCTTATACCAGATTAGACCATTTCCCCTCTAGTCCAGTATTGTCTTTCCTGACAGACAGTGGCTGACCAGAGTCTTATGTAGAGATCTCTCACACCACCTGCTGCCTGATTCTTTTCAGTGGTGCTACCAGGGATTGAACCTGAGATCTCCTGCATGCAAATTGAGCTCTATGATTGAGCTACAGTCCTCCTTGTTCTGCCAGCTGTATTGAAGGACAAGGCAGTTTGTTTTCACCATGAAGAATGCATTTCCAAGAAACAGAAAATTGTAAAATCACAATCTCTGATAGAATGCTCAGAGCAACATGCGATAGAGGGATAAAAAATATTATCAGTTATCTACAGCTTAAAACATAAGGATGACAATAAAACCACTAGAGCATAGAAACAGCAACAAGGTAAAACCCAGATTTCCATCGGCAAAAAGCTTGGGCAAATAATGTTCTAAATTGCCAGTGGAAGCTGTATGGGGAAGTTGCAAAGTGTTCTCAGATTTGCGTATGTATTTAAAATAAAGTAGACTTTTACAGAATACTGCACATTGCCTACCTATATACTTCATATTCCAAATATCCTAAATAAAAAAAATAGACAGGAGTTGTGCAATTTGTAGTAAACAGTCCTATAGGAAACCAGTTTTGTAGTAACCTTACTTTAGCTCATGAGTTGGCGGAAGGTTTTCCAGTTCAATGTTGTTTTTTGCCTTGCCAAAAAAGCCCTGTGCTCACAGCGGCATGAGACTCTCTGCAGCTACCTACTGGAATGGAAGTGATGCCACATAATGTTTCATTGTGTGGGATGTGAAGTGCCATAGCTCAGTGGTGGATTGAAATCCCAGTCTCAATCCCTGCCATCTCCTGGTACAGCTGAGTCAGGTTCCTTGCTTGAAACCCTGCTGACCTCCTGCCAGCCAATGTAGACAAAACTAGGCTAGATGGACCAGTGGTTTAACTCAATATAAGACAGCACCCTGTGTTTTCATATTCCTATTTTTCTATATTCTCATTTTATGCCTTGGGAGTGACAGCATCACATTGTATCACACCATTCTCGATGTATTCCTGGTAGCACATAGAGAAACTCATAAGATGTGGGGCTTTCATTTTAAGTTATAATAGCAAGCAACATCCCCCCAGCAAAAACAACAACAACACACCCCACAATTGTTCACCTCATCAGTTAACCAAGGTAAGCATCCACCCTAAATTTCTCCCTCACACAGAAGCAGCAGAAAACCAGTGCCTCTTGCATGGGAGGAATTTTCAGGACATGCGGGGAAAGGGGCAGGGGTTTGGCCCTGCCTTAATGAGTTGAGTATTGCAGTGCATTTGGCATTAAGTCTGCCTTGCCAAATTGTCAGAGAAAACAGTAGTGTATCAGAAGGGATGGATTTGCTCAGTTGAGTGGAATACATGCCAATTTCTTTCTTTTTTTAAAATAATATTTTATTAGGTTTTTTCATACATGCCAATTTCTGGTATTTAGTGTGGAGGAATGGGGACAGCAACAGTGGAAAGTGCAGAAAATAATCATAACATCATTCATATTTTGTTTTGTTTTTACCCCCTTCCCTTGTTGGATTCACTTTCTACTTTGGAAGAAACTTTTTACCTGCAAGTGTAATACATTGGTTTCATAGCCAGAAACCATATTACTCAAAAACACATTGCAATGCTTTTTATATTGTTTAATTGAAATAAAATATGAAGGGGTTTTAGTACAAACTTGTTGTTTTCTACTGGAAACAGAAGCAAAGTCCTGTTGCTGCTGTTCTTCTTCTTTTTTCTTTTCTATAAAGAGCTGGATATATTCCAAAAAGGAAAAAAAAATGCCTCAATTTCACTGAGTCCTGCTAGCCATTAAAATAATGCTCAATAAACACTGGCTTTTGTGGATTACATTGCAGTCAATTTGGCAAGCGATGGCAAAGTTAAACCTTGATAATGTTCCAGTTCTTGACATTGGAAGGTATGAAAAGGAATATTTTTTACTGACTTTGCCAAACATTAGAGAAGCAAAGGGTTGAGGGCACAGATGTAGTGTCCCAGCAGAACCTTGTTCATACTCTCTCTGCCACAGGAACCTTTGAAGCTGCTTTCAGTCACAGCACTTCAACGAAGCCCGTGGCAAACACAGAAATATTGTTTGATTTCTTTCTTTCTGTTTTTCCCCTTTGCGTTTTCTTCCTCTTACCCCTCCCCCCTTTTTGTTTTGTTTTATAGGATTTTCTAATGTAAACGATCAAAAGAAAAAGCTTATGGAGAATAAAATAACCAAAAAAAGAATATATTGTGTTTATATTATTAATAGCATAGCACCATCAAACTGCCTGCCTGTTTGCAAGTAAGCAGGCACCTGCCCCAAGGACCTTACAGTGTAAAGTAAGCTAGCGAGGAGAGAAGAAAGGGAGATCATGATTGATTCTGTAATGGTAGAACCACGTGGACAAGTATACCAGATACTATGTGTCAGGACCTTCTGTACTGCCCACTCCTGTATATAAAAATTACGTAGTAGATCTGTATTGTTCATGATTTTAAGCTGTCACTAGATGTCCAGGTTGCCTAAGTGGTCAGTAGTGGGTAAGCTAAGCTCCAGCTGGTTCACTTGCTACAGCCATTCCCAGACCAGGACAGCCTGGCATCAGTAACCCATGCTCTGATAAACCCATGTTTTAACTACTGCAATGTGTTCTACATGGGGCCACCCTTGGCAATAGGAAAGAAACTGCAGCTGGTGCAGAATGCAGCTGCCCATATATTAAGCAGGAAAGTACACTGGGGTCATGGGCCACCATCCGTAAGATACTGCACTGGCTGCATGTGCACTACCAGGCCCAAATCAAGGCATTGCTCCTCATGTACAAAGCCTCCATTTCAT